GGCGTGTCCTGCGCCGCTGCATGGTGCAGCTGCAAGGAGGTTCAGCTGCACCAGCCGGCACCTGCACCGACCCTGGGCTGGGGCTGCCCGTGCCGGGGCAGGGGGATCCGATCCCTCCGCTCGAGCCCTCGGTGGCTCTGGCGCCTGCCCCGCTGCGGTGCAGCCGTGCGGCCCTGGCAGCAGCAGCAGGCGCCTTCCTGGCCGCTGCTCCCAGTTCCCGGTTCCCGGCCGCGCTGCTGCCGTCTGCAGGGCGCTCCGGGCTCCTCAACACACACACACACACACACCAATCTGGTGGGTGCTGCTGCAGAAAGACCACACTGGTGTTTATTTCCAGTACTTCGTCTGGAGGTGCTGCCTATCATCATAAACAGGGAAAGGCAGGACAACTATTCCTGTAATGAATAAACATAAAATGACTGAGTGCATCTTAGTCATATATAATTTATGAATTTAGCTTTGCTTCATAGACCTTGCTTTGCAAATGCTTTGACTGGAAGGATTCAGGGATTAATTTCCAGTGCAAACCATTGGCTCCCTTTCAAGCCATCATGTTGCATTTGATTTATTGATTATCTAATCAAATAAACGTAGAGAGAAAATACTGCATTGTGGCTGCTCCGAGGGCCAGGAGGGACGGCACCTGCGGCAGGGTCGGCTCCGTAGGGATCTGGCCCCTCATGAGAGGGGAGCAAGGGTCCTTGCAAGAAGACCTCCCTCTGAGGAAGAGGAGGAAGACCAAGGTGTGGGACAGGTCAGAGTGCAAGCAGAGGCCTCCCAAGAGCATCTGAGCTGCAAGCACTGCAAGAAAGATGCCTAGGCTTCCAAAGCTGAACAAGCCCATCCCGTTCCAGGTACAGACCCTCAAGCAAAGCCCGGGGGGCTTTGCCCTGCACAGACGTGGTGCTCAAGGGACCAAGCCCTGAGGGACCTTGTCATGATGCAAAACCTTGCTGTGTAAGAGCCGTGCAAGAATTACGTTCTTCAGCCCTGAGCAGCCCAACTGCTCCTTCAATCTGATGTTCTGGATCTGCTAGAAAGTAGAAAAAATCATCTCTCAGCCACATAAACCAGGAAAGCTGCTGGTGTGTGTGGAGGAACGTTGCCATTCTGCTCATGCTCTTCTCCTCTCCTGGCCGTTCAAGTCCTACTCTAATTTATTCCCAGAGAAGCTGGATTTTCATTAAGGTGTAGATGTAATCTCTCTACTCTCAAATCTCCTTTGCTATATTTTATCTTGGGTTTGTTTATCACTCCATATTATTGGTCATTTGTCATTTCCTTTCACACAGATCTTGTATTCTTGAAAAATTAAAATAGTGGGTGTGTTTTTTTCCTCGGACCTGCAGGAGGAAGGGTGGATTTTTTAATTTGCCGTTTATTTTAAAAGAAGCAGCAATTCAGCTCAATGATAGTTGTTTTCCAGAGCGTGGTGTGTTCTGAGGGTGGCACCTGGAACAACAGCAGATGATTTAAGGTGCAGATATGTAGGACCTTTGGTGTGTTTGGGCTGCGCCTTCGCGTCCTGCATCTGCAGCAATGATTCCTGCTCCCAGTCCCTTGGGAGAGTCCGTGCATTCCCAAGCCCCGGACCACCCGTTCCCGGGCAGAGCCGGGCGCCACGCCGGCCTTTGCAGCTGCAAAACTCCCCTGCGACAGCCCAAAGCCGTTGCCCTCGCCAGCAAATGCAGCTTTGGAAGCAGGAGCCTCTTAGGGGCTTTTGCCTCTGCTGGCCTGCAGTCGTCTGTTAGCAGTGAAAGGAGGATTTTGCTCTGTGGTTTGAGCTCTCGAGCTGTATCAAACCAGTGCTCTCTAATCTCTGATTGCTCTGTGATGCTTTTCAGCTGAGACGTGTTATGCAGAGTAATCTGTGCGGCATTGAAGTGGGACTTAAACTGTTTATAGAGGAAGGCAGTTAAAATGGCTGTGTGCAATAAAACCGGTTCCTTAACTGCCCGTCTCGTGTGTCGCTCACCCACAGTGACACATGACAAATGCATGTGGCTCTCTAGAAAACAAATGTCACAATGTAAAACTGCGTGCGGCTTAAAGGCAAAGCAAGTTTAGAACAGCAAAAGGAAAAGGGAGGAGATTACAGATGCTGGGGAGGTTTAGATCAGGAAAAATTAAAGGGGGATTTTAGCTCGGGGAGTTTTAGCCCAGCCTGTGACGTGGTGTCTGCGCGTGGTGCCCTTATGGGGGTAACGTGCGGAGTTCTGATTGTTACCCTTGTTTTGTCTTGCAAATCTGTCGCTGCGCTGGAAGATCCCAGAAGAGCACGACTTGGAGAGCCAGATCCGCAAGGAGCGGGAGTGGCGCTTCCTGCGCAACGCTCGGGTCCGCAAGCAGGCACAGAAGATCATCCAGAAGGGTGAGTGGGGCTCCTGCCCCGGGCGTCCTCCCGGCCGCGCCGCAAACGCTGCGGGAGCCGCGAGCCCGGCTCCCGCCGTCCGGCCGCGCTGCCCCCAGCGCTGTCCCGGGCTCTGCTGCTGTGACGAGTTTCGCTAGTGCTCTCCTCTCTGTTCTCTGTCCCTTTGGAAACTTGAGTGTGATGCCGTGCACGGCATGGTCAGGTGCTGCAAGACGCTGTCCTCTCAAGTCCATCGCAGGAGGGGAAAAGCGTAAGAGAAATCTCTTGAAAAAAGAGAAGTGCCACAAAAACAGCTTTCCCCATGTAGAAGACCCAGTAAAGCCTTCGATTCGCGGGGCCCGGGTCTGTTCCCGAGCTCTACAGCAGCTCCCCGCAGAGCTGGCCCAGCCGCAGGAGCCTAAGTCACAAGTGCATAAAATGGGTAATTCAGAGGTTATTACCCAATACTCTTCATTTACCGTTTTGATTTTTCCTCCCTCTCATGTGAACTTCTTATGGGTATTGTAGCTTATGTTTTTAAAGGGAGAGAAGGTAAAATCTTGCAGGAAAAACCTCAAACGTGTGGCCGGAAAGGGCCAGGCAGTGTCTGGCAGGTCGCGGCAAGGAAGCGGTGCCGCTGGGCGGGTGGATGTGCTGCCTTCCTGCGGCTCAGCACGCACCGCCTGCCTTTCACACTCCCCACTCCTCTGAACTCGATAAATGATAGTTTACTTTTCACATCCCATTATATTTTTAATATTTATATAAGCACAGCTTTGTGCATGCTTATACATTCACTTCTAATACGCCTGAGGTTCCCGAGTCTTTACTGTGTGTATTCTGCATTCTTCTGAAAGCTAATCTTGCTTATTTATAACTCTTTATGCATTTACAAGGCAGCAGCCGGGCTAGAATCCTTTCAACGCAGGAATATATTCAAATGCGGCGTAGCCCAGCGCGGTGCCCTCTGGAATTTGCATAGCTAAATCATTAAATCATTGCAGCCCGTGCTCCTTGCTAGCGCGGAGCCTCCCCGGGGACGGGGCTGCTGCTCCCCCCGGAGCTCCCGCCGGGGAGGCTGCTCCGGAGGGCTCAGGCAGTGCCCTAAACAGGAATGACACAGGAGGAAGCACCTGCAGCCCGGGCACTGCTGCCAGGGGACCCTTCATGCTCGCCAGAAGGAACCAAATCCTTCTCTGGACACCAAGTTCATGTTTGGTTGCTTGGCCTGAATGTGAAATAGCAGTATTCGTAAAAATGAGCTCAGAATGTGAAGTATTAACAAGAATTAAAGGAGATTTAAAATGCTGTAATTAGAATTAAATGGATACGTTCCAAAGCAAACTAGAACTGAGTGAGCATCTCCCGAGTTCACAGTTTTGGGTGATGAATTCATACTTTGCCAAAAATGCAGTTGCAGGGATACCCAAACTGCTTGTGAAGAGCAAACTATTGCAAAGAAATAAGTGAAATGGAAGGTTAAATAAATAATCCACAAGCTAACATGAAATATTGAATTTGATGTTGAATACAGTCTTTTCATTTTTGTCCTATTTTGCAAAATAAATAAACCAACGGAGCTGATTTTGCGTCAAAACAAAACGTTTCCTTGGACCCGCTGGGCGTTTGCGTGCGCCGGCCTTGCCCGGGCTCTGATCCCGGGCTCTGCCTCCTTCCCCGCAGGCATCTCCCGCCTTGACGACCAGATCTTCCTCAACAGGAACCCCGGGGTGCCCTCGGTGGTGAAGTTCCACCCCTTCACGCCCTGCATCGCGGTGGCCGACAAGGACAGCATCTGGTAAGGGGTCCCCCGTGGGCCGCCCCGGAGCAGCTCCCGTGCCCTGACACGGCTGGAGACGGCCCTCATGGAGCGGGCGGGTGCGGATCATCATTTCTGGGGAAGCGTCCGTGTTTCCCTCCTTGTTCTTGTCCACTCCCACAGCCGTCATCTCCCCCTTTCCATGCAGGAGATGGGAAGTGCTCTGCTAATTCAGTGCCACAGCCCAGGCATCAAGCCTCATGGTACAGGAGGCGCTGGATTAGAGGGCAACCAGTGGATTTTGATGGACTAGTGTTAGTTAATTGGGGATGGGGTTCATAAAATCATTATGTCAATACCAAAGCAGAAAGATGAATTGGCCTGATGTGTAATATTTAATGTCACCGTAATGGGAAGTTCTTAGCTTGTCTGCACAACCAAGAACTGACCTGCTGTTTCTTCCTCACACAGTTTTTGGGACTGGGAGAAAGGGGAAAAGTTGGACTACTTCCACAATGGGAATCCTCGCTACACCAGGATCACCGCGATGGAGTACCTGAACGGACAAGACTGCTCCTTGCTGCTCACGGCCACAGGTAGGAGGCACATTTGCCCCTGTGATTTTGGGATGGAAGCAGGAGCCTTTACAGAATCCCGGTGTGGGTGAGCTGCCCTGGACCTCTCTGCCCTCCGTGAACGTGGCCCAGTCTGAACCTTCGCCCTCCTCTGCGACTTGCCCAGCTGATCTCCATGGAGGAGGCACTTCTGGAATCACCTGGGAGTTGTGTCTGGCACCACTGGGTTATCTTGATTGTTTAAGTAGCTGCTGTGGATGTTCTCAAATTACAATCAAATTAAGTGTTTACTGAAAGCATTTTCAACCATAGCTTCTTTTGTTACATCATTTTGGGTCTTCATGCTGCAAATTCCTGGTAACCTGGTATGCAGCGTTTCAGACAATTTGATTCTAGCTGGTCCCGCTGTTTTAAAAGCCACTGCCTGAGTTGCAAAGCAAATCTTGCTGCAACATAAGGAATCAAATTCAGTTCCTTTTGCTGTGTTAGCCTAGAGTAGGTAGGGCTTATTTTACGCGCTGAACTTCTGCAGTAGCTCTGAGTTTCTCTGCTCGTCTCTGGAGTCCCTCCATCTCGCCAGGGCGCAGCAGCTCTCTGCAGTGCTCTGGTGCACCCTGTGAGGTAGCGTGAAGAGCTCTCATTCCCATTCACTGGTCTCTGAAGCTGCGAGGAAGGTTTGCTCCTTTCCCAAGGAACCATTCTCCACCTGTCGGGCTGAGGGTTTTCAATTACTTTTCAAACTCCATGATGAAACGTTCAGGTTGGGTGTAATTAAGACAGGTGGAAGAAGAGTAGAGAGGGCCTCCAGGACATTTTTCTTTCAATTTATTGATTCTTAGCACAAAAGTTTCACAGTTGGGGAACAAATTGAAAAAATACATGATGTTCTTGAAAGATTTGCTGCTGATGGGCTGGGCCTTTGATTCAGCTTCTTCTGTAGGGTTGTGTTTTGTATTTAGCAGGGTACTTTTGTGACTCTTAGTGCCAATAGCAAGGAAGATGGAGAGATAAGAGAATATGAATTGGTCAAATGAGATGGAGCAACATTTAATGTTAGGTGTTGCTCAAGGAGAGGAGCGTAGCTTTTCCAGGAACGTTCTCAGTGGAACAGTCCTTCAGGTAATATGGATGTAAGAGTAGAGAGAAAAACAGCTCCAACAGAGATTAAGTCAAGGGACACTTTCAGCTTTAGAGTTTGCAGGACAGGGGTTCCTCTTCTCAAGTAACCGAGAGTTGCATCAGCAGTGACGTTGCCTTGTGTTCTGTTCTCTGAGATGACGGCGCTATCAGAGTATGGAAGAACTTTGCAGACCTGGAGAAGAACCCCGAGATGGTAACTGCCTGGCAGGGCCTCTCGGACATGCTGCCGACGACACGAGGTGGGTCCCTCTGAGCTGTCGCGTCGGGGATGCAGGTCGTTGGTGCTGGTACGGTTTTTTCTAGGGGTGTGCAGAGCACATTGGGTTTCTCCACCTTGGCCATCGGTTACATCCTTGTTTAACAGTCTCTGCCTTTCTGGAATGACCTTTCACCATGCCTTGGTGAGACATTCCTTCTCCAGGACTTAAGTGAACCAACAAACCCAAAAACCCGACCCAACAGCCTTCTCCCTCCACACACACAAGAGCAGCTGCAGCAGCATCTTGCTGGGCAGCAGAAGGGCCCCAAATCCTCCTCCTCCCACGCTTCTCTGCAGCTGTCCTGGCCCAGCCCTCCTATTGCCCTCGTTTCTAAGGAGAGAACTGTGGAACAACGGTGGAACTGAGCCCCTGCCTGCCCTGCTCTCCCGGGGCAGGCGGCCGCTGCTTCCCCCTTGGCTATGGGGGCAGCTCACGTCCTTGCTCTTTTCTCCTGACGGGCTGCTCGGCCTCTGCACCGCTTTGCATGTTGCACCCGGGATCTCATTCAGCCTGAATTCCATTTTAGCACTTGCTCTTTGCTGCTTATTGTGGGTCAGGAGGTGGCAGGAGAATATGCGATCTAGATCTGATCCCCGCAGAAGGACGGTGCAGCCGGACATTGACCCGCTCTGTGTTAAAGAAGTAATACAGGCAAAGATGTAAAGAGGAGCAACACGCAGCTTGAAACCCAAATACCAGCTTGGGTAGCCCTGAAGTCTGTTTTAGGGTGTGGAAGGAGGTGGACATTGTGTCCTTCTGAGACCTGATAAAATGTCCTCATGCTCTAATGACGATTCTCTGTCACTTGGATATTTTTAATCAAGGCTACAAGTCTTTCTGCAAAATGTGCTGTATTCAATCAGTGCTGATGTTATGGGTTTGCTGTAGACATTGCTGGGTGAGGATGTCTGGCTTGTGCTGTGCAGGAGGTCAGATGAGATGATCAACATAATTCATTCTGACCTTAAAATCTGACAGTTCTCATTTCTGAGCTTCTGTGGTTCATCACGGGAGTCCGACACAGCGACTTCAGCTATTCATTGGATTTTACCTGTGCTGCCTTGTTGAACTCGGATTCATTAGGTTTCCTCAGCACCTCATGGCTCATCTCTGGTGTTACAGGAGAGAAGAAGGGTATTTGCTGTAACTTGGGGCTCTGTGCCTCGCTGTCTTACATGCACACAATTGATTATTAACTGCTGGAAGTTTGCAGCGTACTGTGAAAATTGCCGTGGTCAAAACCTGCTCTTTGCAGAGAGGTCAATGAAAGCGGGAGGAAATCAGTAGTCATACAGTGAGTGGTGAGACCTGAATCTCCCGGACAGGAAAGCACCTGGTAGTGAGCTCGCGTTGTCACTCGCAGGGTCGTTCGGTCCCTGTTTCTTCTTCCTCGACATCAGCTTTCCTGAAGGATGCTGGTTCCTGTTTCCCTCTCTGCATTCAGGGTCTTGTCCCCTCGGTGCCGGTGACAGACTTGCTCCAACGCGCGGAGTCCGGGCGCTCCCATGGGCTGCTCACAGCAAGGGCTGGTGTAGCTGTGCGTTGAGTGGCCACCATATCAGCACTGTTCCAAGTTTTAAATCTGTTCTAAGAATTTTTCACCCTCTTTTCTCTGTGACTGTAAGTGTGGGTGCTGTTTTCTTTGCCTGTCACCTTGGTGCTTTGAGTTAGATGCAGACAAAACGGCTGCATTTCCTTGTGGGGCGAGAAGTCAAGGCAGTCACTTCAGAGGAGCGGTGTGAAGGAAGCCCCTCGGAGATGAGACTCGAGGAGTCCTCCTGTGGCACCAGGGCCTTCACTGCCGTCCAGCAGCAGCTCTTAACGCTGAGGATGTGTCTGTGAAGCTGGCTGTGCTCCAGAGCTTTCCTGGAGCGTGTTCACTCCTATTCATTGTCCTCTCTCACCTCCCATCCTTTTCCCCAGTGTCCTGCTCCTCTCTGTTGTTTGACAGTCTTCTTGAGAGCAACCAAAATGCAGACTTTTCTAGGTGGTTGTCCCCCTTGTGAAAGGAAGGAGGAATGTGCGATACAGGAATCCATCCTCTGGTGTCTGGGAGGTCTCTCCAGGTTGCCCAAGGAGCGGGAGGCTACTCCGAGGGGATGAGCAAGGCAGACGCAGGAGCAGGTTTCAGCTTTTCATTACCTCAGGACTTGCATTGTGTAGCCCGGGTTAGGAGAAATGAGCTGACAGCCAAGCTGGTGAGAACCCTGCTGCAGGGGTTGCTGCCCAGGAGCCGTTTAGTCCCTAGACATCTCTATTGACCTTGGAGATGAGTCTTAGCTTAGTGCTGCCCTCTGCGGACCCTTCATTTTTTTCAGTATAAGATCTGATCATTTTGATCTCGCTCAGATCTTTTTCAGATCTGTGCTGAACAGTACTGAAATTTGGAGGAATGCAGAGGTAAAAGTAGCTGCCTCAGACTTACTGAGTACTCGCTGCCTAGATCCCCTTGCAGTTCCTTACGTGTGCCTGAGTCTGCAGCGTGTCCCCTGTGCAGGTTAGTGACGGCAGCCAGGTCCCCACCACACGGCAGGGCCAGCACCAGGCCGCCGGAGTGGCAGGATCCGCTCCTGCGGATGCCTGGGCAAGGTTTCCAGCATTCCCGAGAGCCACAGGGCATTTCCCTGTTTGCTGCCGTACTGCAGTGCTCTCCTGCTGCCTGCGGATTTGCGGTGGCTAGAAATGAATGTTTGGTGGCTGCCTCTCATGCAGGAGCTGTCTGAATGGAGCACCTATAAATGAATAAATTTGTGTTTATAAATGTATAGAAAGCCTGCACCCCCTGCGTGCTCGTGAGCTGCAGGGCAGAGGAGCCCCCGCTGCAGCACCCGCTGCGCCGTCGTGCTCGGGTTTGCACGGACGCTGTCGGGGCTTCCCTCTGTCCCTGCCCGGTGCTTTGCGCTTCAGAGCAGGGACCGGGTCGTACGAGGGACGTTCTCCTGGCTCCAGAAAATGTCATGGTCAAGCCTGTGCTGCTGAGAGCCACAAAATCCACTTCAAGTGCCACCGGTGAAGGCTTCCTAGGAAAAGGTTCGGTGTTTACACCACTGCCTTTTCTCTGGGTGAAGGCATGTGCTGCTCTTGGTGCTGCTGCTTCTCTGATGTGTTCCTTTCCTTTGCTTTGAGTTGCTTTTTCTAATCCTTTTATTTTTTACAATTTATTTTTGCTCTGGCTGACCAACTTACCCTTAGCGTCAACCCCTTAATCCCTGTCTTCTCACAGGTCTGGCCCGAAGGGTTTCAATCTATCTTGACAGAAGTAAGCAGGGAGGTGAGTGCTCTCTTTCCTGTTACCTATGGCCAGCCGGGGTGGGAAGGATCTCGTCCGCCTGCTGGTTGGTTGGTTGGTCTTTGGCATGGTTGGAATGGCTGCTGGGTCCTCCTTGTCCCTGGAGGGCTTTGCTGCTTCTGCCTCTCGCCGCTCCTGGTCGGTGTCCAGAGGAGCGCGGGCCGGCCCTGGGGATGCGCCTTGTGTCCCCGGCGCCTGCACGGGAGCAGGGACGGGGCTTTTCTGGGACACGCAAATCCTCCTTCTAGGAAGACTGTGAAGCTTCCTTAGCCATGGAAGCGACAGGTCCCGTTAGCCGTTAAGCTACCGCAGCTTTGGTTGGGTCCCCTCTGCAACACAGCCTTGCTGCAGAGATGGTGCGAGCAGCAGCGGCGGGGCAGTGTTTGCTGTGGGGCTCGGAGCAGCGGAGCCGGGCTCTGAGCAAGGCCCTGTCCGGCACGTCGGACACATCCTGCCCTTTCCAATGGAAGGGAGGTAACTGGGAGCTCCAGGCGCTGTGCGGGAGCCTCAGGGCTCTGGCCGCCCGCGTGGATGTGGAGGGGCCGGGCACTGCTCTCTGCCTTTCCCCCGCCTCGGGCGCTGCAGTCAGCCCTGCCTGGCTCCGGGAATTCCCTGCCGGGCGGGAATTGGGCCGGGACAGCCTGGGGCGATGCCCGGCACTCCGCGCAGGGCCGGTACCGCTGGCGCCCAGCTGCCAGCGCACAGCCCCGTGCGCACGAGTGAACGTGAATCCATGGGAGAGATCCCCAGCGCCTTCTGGCCAGGCATCCGCCTAGTGCAGGTGCAGAAAAAGGCTTCTTTGCCTGGCCGAGGGTGTGATAGAGATGCCTAAAATTAACCATTTGCTTGATAGCAAAACACGTCCTCTATCATTTGTATAAAACGTGGTTGCTTTATCACCAAAGCAGCAGCAATCTGCCCTGTGGCCTCGGCTAAGGGCAGGACAGGGATTTCCCTGGGAGCTGCAGCACCGGGCGCGGGGCAGCAGGAACGGGCCCAGGGGCCTTGGCAGAGGGGAGGCTCCCAGCAAAGGCAGAGGATTCTGGACTGGAGAGCGAGGGAACGGGAATCTCTGCATGTCTCCCGAGGATGGGTGTCTGTTCCTTTGGGATACCCCTCGGGGAGAACCGCCTCAGACATGGCCGCCTTTTTTAGTTAAAATAACCTAACTGGAGTTGTCTCCCCAGGGTCTGGGTTCTTTAAATTGCATTCTCAGTGGCAGAGACTCCTTTCCCTGGCCGTGCACAGCCCTTGGCATGGACCGAGTGACACTTCTCGAGGTGTGTTGCAGGGATTTGTGAGGATGAGGTCACCCTGCCCTCCCGCCGCTTCTTGGAAATTAAAACAGAGCCTCCTTGCTTGGCCGGGAGAGCCCGTGATTAAAGCACCACCAGTGCCATCCGCGCTGCTTCGTGCTGGAGCCCGTGCCATGTTTGTGAGCCCACTGCAGCGCCGAGTGCCACTTGGCTTTGTTCCAGGCACGGTAGAAAGAAGCGCAGACACTTGAAATGCAGCTGCTTTCGACACCAGTGTCATTTATTGAAATTTATACAAGGAACCGTCCCATCGAGACAAATACTTGATTTTCAGGGGGAATCCTGCAAGGAAGAGCCGCAGAAGCTACAGCCTTGCGAACAGCTGGTGCTGCACAGTGCCTCGCACCACGCCGAGCTGCAAGCAGCTGTATAAAGGCCCCAACCAAAAAAACCCTTTAAAAAATTCCTTTTGCTGAGGTGCGGAAGCCCAGCAGGTTCCTCAGGAATTCCTTACAGGAGAGCATTAATGCTGGCTCCGGGCAAGGCCCGGCCGTGCGCTGCGGGGAGCGCGGCTCCGCGTGCCAGGCGCGCAGGCCAGGGCGCCGCGGGCGGGCGCTGCGCCCGCTTGTAGCATCCTGCAGCAGCACGGCTGCCAGTTACAAAGGAAACGGTAGGCAGCCTGGAGTCCCACACTTGCTTCTCCTCCTAAAATAGTGGGAATTTGACACAAAAACATGAGCTGATGCGTTAGCGTTTCCACCAGGAAAACGTGGCTGGCAGCTGGCAGCAGAGCAGCCCTCTGTGCACAGGGGCTTTTCTTCCTTTCCAGCATGGATTTCAATACGAGCTTAGCGTTTCCCGTTGCAGACCGGGCTCTCCTCGTCCCTGTGCCCTGCTGGGGCAGCCTCGAGCAGCTCGCTGGCCCTGCTGCCACCTCTGCAGCCAGGAGCTGGAGAGGTTCCCGCGAGGAGGGTGCCGGGAGCCCTCCCTCAGCCCCATTTCATGGAAACGCTCTTGTTTCTCGTACCGGGGTTGCTCGGGGCAATAGCCACCCCGGCGAGCAGAGGAGTCGCTGGCAGGGCCTGGGCAGCTTTGCAGGGAAGCAGGAGCCGAGGCCGCTTCCCCAGCCCTGAGCCCACCGACCACGACCCCGCGCCAGCTCTGCCTGCTCCCGCAGCCTCTCTCCGTCCTCCCTGCAATGAGTCTTTTTCCTCCTCCTTTCTAACCACAGGATCTCTCTCTGTTCCTGAAACCTTGTTCTTTCTAGCTGCTGATTCTTTCCTGAGAGGTCTCTGTGCTGCCTTATGTAAAGCAAACCCCTCTGAGGCTTCTTCCCTCCATAAAATTCTCCCAGCTCCTAGATTTCGTTCTGCACGTTCTCAATATCTGCACCCAAGCAAGCCCGGCACCAGGAGCCCCAAAGATGCCATCACAGATCTGAACCCATCATCTCTTGGTCCCTGGCCCCAGGGAGCGATCTGGGCCCCTCTTGGGGATTGTCACTGCTGATCAAAGTGAAAACGATGGTTTTCAAACTGGGGAATGTAACTGGAAAAGTGGGAGCTTTAAAACTGCCTAAGAGCACATTGCCTACTTAACTCCATCAGCGATGGAAATGGCGACATCCATCTCAGGCTGCCAGTTTTATCTTGTCACATGGGCCATAAACAAGATGACAAATGAAAACACTTTGGTGATGTTTATCATCTAAATCACCGGCTGCTTGTTTGCCTTGGCTCTCCAGCACCCCCCGAGCCGCCGGGCGAGCTGAAGGAGCAATCAATTTGGCTCGCGCCGTAGAGCTCCCCGCTCTCAGCTCAGCTGAGAGCCCTGAATTTCCTGCAGGAAGACGAAAGGCTGTCAATAAACGCCCGTAATCTTGTCGCGGGGGTGCAGCGGGATGGGGAGGAGGCTGCACGCGAGGCTGGGCAGGGGGAGGCTGCCGGGCTTGTCCTGGGTCTGTGCAGAGCGAGGTCGCGGCGGCGGGCGCCCTGCCTGCCCTGGCCTGATGTTCGCTGGGGCAAAAAGCCCTGGCACCAGGAGCGAGAAGGAAATGTGCAGTGCCTGCTGCGGCTCGCTCTTTACGAGTGCATGAGACAAATCCACATTTATCCCTGTTTCAGAGGAGCAGCTTGTGCGTTTCCCCAGCTCCATCCCACGGGATGGGAGCCCTGCTCCGTGCAGGAGCCCGCGCTCCCCCTTGGCTGCGTCACCGGGAGCCCAGGGGGCAAAATCCTGCCCTGCCCTGGCCTGGGGAGAGGGAAATGCTGCGCCGGGAGGAAGCTGCTGCTGCCGCTTGCCCAGGGACATCCCTGTGCGGGAAGAGGAAGGCAAACACGCAAAAGCTCCAGCTCTTTTCATGGACCTTCTGGGTTGTTTTTTTAAATGTACGAATAAAAACCTCCCTGGAAAATCCACAGATTTGGGGTCGGTCAGCCTCTCAGCATAGGAAGGAAAAGCTAATTGCTGAACAGCTGTGCTCAAACAAGCAGTTCGGAGCCGGGCAGGCAGCGCAGAGGTGGGGCGAGAAGTCCCTTCTAATTAAATGTACCAGAATTGCTCTGTGGAGATCACGGCGCCAATTAGGGGTTTCATTTCCTAAGCCCAAAGTATGTGTTTTGTTCTGCTCCTCACATGCTCCGTGCCTAGAAAAGCCAGCTCACTCAGTGCCTTTGTGTGCATTTAATCTGCACAGTGAGAAACGAGGCGAAATACACTTATTTTTCCTCTAGAAATTGCCATACCAAGAAGGTTCAATTAGTTCATACCATTTAGCAAGCTGTGTGTGAACAGGTGCCCGTTTCAGGTGTTCCGAGGCTAGAAAATCCCCTGTAATTCCCTTGCAGCATGGACGGGACTTTCTTCTGGACTTCAACTGGCAATCAGCTTACGCCCTCAAGGATGGGGATCAAGAGCTCTTGTAAGCGTCTTTTAGCCAGTGTGGTTGCTGATGGGTCTCTTCCTTGTCCGCCCACGTAGCAAAGAGTTTTTTACTCCTAGCAAGCTCTTTGGTTCGGTATCTTGCAGCAGTCACTTGGCTGTTCTTTGGTTAGAAACGTTTCCTCTTAGCCCCGTGTTTCTGTGAGAACAGAAATGAGGGGAACGCGGAGGGGCTCCGGCTGCTGCGGGGTCACCACTTGGGGCTGCCTCCATCTTCGCTTAGTCTCGTGTTCTTGTAAGGGTCTAATAAGTGAAAGATGCAACTCGGACTCCCATCCAGGACCAACGGATTTGATCCCGTTTGGAGGATGTATATTGATGTGTGCGTGTAATTTTAAATTTTCTCTAACGGTGAGAAAGTGTGCTCTAGTATAAGATCACAAAACCTGGTGTTCTGTGCGATCCTGCTCGGTCTCTGCTGATGGGGAAAATAATCTACGTGTCCTGCCTGTGTTTTGTCTTAGGAGCAGGAATGGTAGTCGACTGGGAGCAAGAAACGGGGCTCCTGATGACCTCAGGAGATGTGAGGATAATCCGGATCTGGGACACAGATCGGGAAATGAAAGTGCAGGTAACACGTGCGCGTCTTCCCGTTTACCTTTCCCTGCGGCTGCACGTAGCGCTCCCAAGCAAACCGCCAGCCCCAGCTCGTGCCGGGAGTTACCACGTGAGTTACCACGTGGGTTACCACGGCCAGGGAGCTGTGCGGAGCTGGCCGACACCTGCAGCCGCAGCTGCTGCTCCGCGGCGCCGAGCCGCGCTGGAAGCTCAGCGGAAACTCCTGTCCCCTTGCAGTGCAACGGGGAGAACGCTCTGCAGTTTGCAGCCAAATAAACTGTTTGGGGGAACTGTGAGAAGCAGCAAGGCTATGAGAATGAAGTCAGCATGCTGGAGGAAAGAGGAAGTCTTCAAAGCGTCTAGAAATTAATTACCCCGGGGTTCACATTAATTATGGCACTTTGACCCTGCAGTGTAGCATAATTAAGCCTAAGCTGATCTTAATTACTGTCACTATTATTTTTTCTATGTAAATTAGGGAGCATCAAAATTCAGAAGGTGAAAATCTCCTCAATGAGGATGATTAATCAATGTGCTGAAATTATCTAAAAACATGCTGTTTCTTTTTTAATTGCAAAGACCGGTTTTGTTGAAATTCAAGTGATTGAAACTTCCTGACTCAGTAGCACTGGAAAGCTGAAATTCAGCACAAAGAGCAGGAAAACGATGAAATGCAAGCTAAAAAAGGTGCCTCCCCACACTTTGAACCACAGAGAGCGCATCCTGGGAAGCACTTGGGCTGCCGCTGAAGAAGCAAATCCTTCATTTTCACTTCAGCTGATTGCTCCTGCTTCAAAGAGAGGATCTGGTTTTAGGCAGTGCGGATTAGGGTCCAAACAGCCCCGAAAGTTGGGCATCTCCAGCCAACAGCTACTTCACTCAGGCGAGGCTGTGAATAGCAACTAAGAAAGGTGAACACGCTCAGCAGCAAAAATAGGATGGAAGTGTGAAATTAGCTAACGCAGTTCTAAAGGGCCTCCTTGATTGTTAGCCTGTTTTTAAGAAGTTGCTTAGTTTTTCTCCATTTTAACTGAAGCGGTTTCTCTCCATGATGGTTGTAGACATTATTCCAGGCAATTCCTTGCTTGTGGCAAGTAAACTCTGCTTGTGGCAGAGTTGCAGCGTTAGGGTGGGAAGGAAGGTGCGCTGCTAGCGCAGAGTTAATAAATTGCAGTCTTGTTCCTTCAGCAGCGTTTTGCACAGGCAGCCTTGCTTGTGACGCACTCTTTTTGGCTGTGTGTGCCTTGATGTACACGGATTTCACTTCCTTCCGTGGCTTGTCCAGATGTTTACTATTTATCTCGCCATTCCAGCAGCATTTGCAGTTTGCACCTGGCCAAGATGGTTTATGGAGAATCAATTCCCCCGGGCGTTTATTTTAACCGATTAGGTATTTTTACAAGAGGCCTCACCCTGCGTGAATAGTAGAAGTCCGTCTTTGCTGGTGCTGGTTTGCTGGGCCTGCGGGTTGGGGAGAAACGTAGGGCCCCCCCGGACCCCAGACCGTCGTTCCCGTGGGGAGCGGCCGTGTCCCGGCTGGAGCGGCTCCCGCTGATCCCGCCACGCGTGTGCTCTGCCCCAGGACATCCCCACGGGCGCCGACAGCTGCGTGACCAGCCTCTCGTGCGACTCGCATCGCTCGCTCATCGTGGCCGGCCTGGGCGACGGCTCCATCCGCGTCTTCGACAGGAGGATGGCGCTGAGCGAGTGGTAACGGCGCTGCCCCGGCCCTGCCCTGCCTCCCTTGAGCTCCGCTTGCTCCAAAGCCCCAGAGCCACGAGGAAATTTGCAGTTTCCACCTTGGCTCCAGGGCTGAAATATCTCGCTGGGAAAACATTGGTGATTTAGTGGGTGCTTTTACGACCCTCATGGTGCTCCTGAAAATCCTCGGGGCTTGCAGGGAACGCGGCATTTGGGAGAGCCCCGTCCCACCCCCAAGCTCAGGGCAAAATCCACCCTGTCCTGCCCCTCTCGCGGGCGGTCGCTCGGCACCCCATCCTCCTCCTCCTCCTCCCCGTGAACGCCCTGTGCTCTGCTTGCTCCGCAGCCGCGTGATGACCTACCGCGAGCACACGGCGTGGGTGGTGAAAGCCTACCTGCAGAAGCACCCCGAGGGCAACATCATGAGCGTCAGGTAAGGGCCTGCGCAGCCCCAGCGCCTTCCCACCAGCACCTTTGCCACGAGGCCCGGCGGAGCGGGAGCGGGGAGGCTGGAGCACCTTCGGCTGCCCTCAGCCCCGGCAGCAGCGCGGCGCGTTCCCGGGAGCCCCTTCCGGAGGTGTCGGGGTGAGCGCGCGGGCTGTGCGCTGCCAGCCTGTCACCCGGCACGGAGCTGCTCCCGTGGGCGCCCGCGGGGCGCGGGGACGGCGCGAGCGGGAGGGAGCTCCACGCTGCATCTGTCGGGCATATTGCTGCGTGGGATTGCTGCACCGTCTAGCAATTTTGTGCACATAAATCCATTTCTGCTGGCTGGTAAATACTGAGCAGAGAGCAGCATATATTTATTTAGCCATTAAAGAACGGCAGAATATAATTTATTGTTACGAAGCCACTGTTTGCACACAGAGAAGCTCTCTTTCTTGTTTACAAAATGAGAACAAAATATAATATGGTGGGATGCAGAACATTCCCGAAGTGGGGGCTGGGCCAGCAAAAATTTATCAAGATTTTGTGGCAGGCGCTTAAGAGATGCAGCTGCCAGCTTTGTGAGGCTCCCGTATTACAGTTTTTAATCTTCCTGTGTGTAATCTCCCCCGCCGTGGCCGGGGTCAGCCCTGTGCCTGGCCAGCCCTTGTCTGCGGCCTTGGCCTTTCCTCTCCTCCGTGCCCTCTCAGCAAGTGCTGCCTTTGCTCGGGAGTGCGAAGGGCCAAGAACACGTTGCAGCAGGGAGACGCACAGAGAAGGGGGCTAGCAGGAGCAGAGAGAGGCGGCATGGGCGAAGCAAGCCCAGGTTCTGCCACCCTCCCCTGCCCGGCTCTGCTCCATCGCCCGTAGCTCTTCTTCCAAAACACTGAAGTGGGATAACGCTAAAATACTGAAGTGGGACTTCAGGACGGGGTCTTTTCCTCTCTATTTTGAAAACTGCATCCAGTTAATCAGCAGGTCTGCTTCCATGCACGGTTGGTTTTGCTAGGAAACGTCCTTCAGCGTCTTTGGAATATCCTGGTTTAGTGCCTTAGCTGCTGCTGACTTGCTTTAATTATTAGCTGGGACACCAACTGCTGTCTGCTGGGGCAAGCTTTATTCTGAGCCTGCTCTGCTCTGTGCTCCGCACACTGCAGGACTGGACTTCCATTTTCAAGCTCTTACCTGGTCTTCTAATACATCCAGATCCATTTCTGAGTCTTAGTAGGATTCAAAGCATGAAGTGAATCTGCTGTCTATTTGATCTCTCCCTAAAAAAAAAAAAAAAAAAAAACCTGACATCCATCTGGTCTTTAGGATCTAAATCAACCTGAAGTTTAACTTGTCTTGCATTTAATTATGTGACAGCAGGAATTACAGTGTTTAACAATGATATAAATAATCCCCTATAACAGCCTTCTGATCGCTACTAGAATTTCCAGAGGTAAAGAGACTGAGGGAAATATGCATCTTAATGCTTTGTACTTAATTCTGTAGAGTGATTCACAGTCACATACGGCCACCAGTGACTTGAAAAAACACAGTAACAGTTTGTCATGCCAAAGCCTTATTTTGCTACTAGTAGAATCAGATGAGAAGAATTGATTCCGAATCCAGTTTCCATAAGAGACTTTTCTGTTTGCCTTCTCCTGCACTAGTCAACAAGTGTCTTTTAAGCAGCACCGAAGAGCAGATGTACCATAGCAAAAACTTCAGTCCTCCGTTCCAGAAACACAGAACAAGATGCCCCCTCTTCACTTCTAATAGACTTGATTCTGCTGTGATGTGTTTCAGAGCTGACTTAACAAGAAGTCGCGCCTTTGATGCTTCATCTCCTAAGCACAGTGTCTTTCCCCTGCCGCTCTTGCTTTCCCCACCTTCTCCTCCGTACTGAGTCAAGTCATTAAGAGGGTTGACACGTAGCCCGTGCGTGAAGTGCTGGTTGTTAGGCTGGGTCCGCAGAGTCCCTTGGACAGCACGGACTCGTACATCTGCGTGCAGACAGCTGGCGGCATGGATGGTACCAGCAGAGCCCGTCTGCTTAGGCTGTTCTAATACAATTTTCTGCTGTGAGAAGGAGAAAGAATCTGGGTCTGACATGTAGCTTAGTGCATTGAGAGTGGCATAACAGTAAAGGCACTCGTAGCCAGTGACGGGCGGAAAGGGATAAAAGTAATAATGGATCGCTGCCGAGGGCAGAGGCAGGGCTGTTTGTGCAGCACTTAGTGCTTGGTGGATACGAGTGACGAGTACAAGTGTCACGAGGGACTCGGTCACCCCGGGGAAGGGGCCTCGCCGGGCTGCTCCCCTGCTCTCCTGGCGGGCCGGGCAGCAGGGACGGACCCGCGGTGCCGGGCTGACGCTGTGGATCTGTGTGTTGGCAGCGTGAACGGGGACGTGCGCTTCTTTGACCCCAGGATGCCCGAGTCCATGAAGGTCCTTCAGATCGTCAAGGGGCTGACGGCCCTGGACATTCACCCGCAAGCCAACCTCTTTGCGTGGTAAGTCCTGGGTTCACCTGCTACGTCCCTGGAGTGGTCACAGGACCAGGGTCTCTGCAGTCCCCGCTCGTGGGGCTTGGTTGGGGTTTGTGCTGCTGCTTCTCCCCGGCAGCAGCGCGGCCTCGTCCACGTGCTTGCACAAGAGGGATCTCATCCCTTGTGTGCGTCACGGGAGACTCGGGGGAAGGCGGAGGGGCTTTCACCCTTGCGGCAGGCGGCTGGAGGCAGCAGTGTAGGTGTTAGCAGAGCACTCACGGTGACACCAGCTTCTCTCTACTCATTTTCAGTGGCTCCATGAATCAGTTCACTGCAATCTACAACGGAAACGGAGAGCTGATCAACAATATCAAATACTACGATGGTTTTATGGGGCAGAGAGTTGGAGCCATCAGCTGCCTGGCTTTCCATCCTCACTGGGTCTGTATTGTCTCTTTCTGGAGCTTGGAATTTCGGGGTGGATGTTGGGGTTGGAAGAGGGAGAGGTGCAGAGTGTCCTGTGGCACCCCAGGCTGCTGCCCCATCCCAGATTTCCGTGGGTCTTGGAGCCTGGAGGTGCAGCCAGTGCCCGGCGTTAGGATGTGCCCCTCGGGCAGAGTCCCTGCGCGCACTGGGCCCGTTTCCCTGTGCTGCCCTTGCCGTGACGTGGCCACGAAGCCGGGGGCCTGCACCCCCGGAATGCACCGGAGCTGCTGGCAGAGCTGCAGGCTGCTGAAGCGCTTCAGACCCCGTGTCCCGGGGCTGCTTCTGCACCGGCTCTTACGTAACGCTGCTGGGAGACCTACTGCTGCGCAGGAGAAAAACTGCCTGGCAAAACCAGAGAGAGTTCTGCAAAAGTTACAGGCATCAGCTAATGAAATATAAAGGGGCTTGGAGTAAAAGGGAGGTTGCTAAATGTGCCCCAGCTGAGCTGACTCTGCACCAGCGGCCGGAGAGAAGAGCTGGTCACTGCTCGGGTAGGAGGCAAGTGCCCGTCTGCATTAGGGCTTCTGCTCACACCGAGATGAGAGTAAGTGAAGGAGATGGACTGAGAGGGGTAGGAAAAGCAGGAGGAGGTTAAAGAAGGCATAAACAGGCAGTTGTACATCCGAACTCAGATATCTGTAATGGGAAAAAGCAGTGGGAATGATAAAAGGCCTAGAGGGGAGGAGGAATGAAATATGCTCTGCTGAGATTTGGTGTTGCCTGGGCTGGGAAAGGGAAAGATGTTTTTCTGCCTGGGTATATGGGCTTATATCCTGGAGGTAGCAGGGTTAAGGAAGAGCTTATCTCCTCCTTGCTTTTGAAAGGTCACTTTGCAGAAAACCAAACAGTGATTTTGCTCTGTTGCAGTGTGGGGAGGATGGAGAAGGAAGGGGCTAAGCGCTTGAATCGTTTAGCTCTTTGAATATGCAAACAACCAAAGCCCTGTCTAGCCCAGAGCCCCAGGGCAGGAACGGTTCCTGGCCCTCTCCATAGCGGGAATGCCAATTGTCCGCCCAGGACACTGCTCATAACCAGCAGATTTGCAGTCATTTGGAAAAATTATGTTCGGCTTTGGCAAGGAACAGTCACCATAGTTTTCCCCTCTGGCTGCAATGGGGGCACATAACCTGCCGACACGCTGTGGGTACTAGCAGAAACGTCGGCAGAGCGGCCTTGGCAGATGCACTTAAGAGCTCTCCAGCATCTGGGTGCTCCTGCTGCAAATGTCGCCCGTTTCCCTGTGATGTGTCGCCCATTACTGCACAACACCTGAGCGTTTATCCTGTTCTGCTCTCTTTGCGCAGCCTCATCTGGCCGTGGGAAGCAATGACTACTACATCTCGGTGTACTCAGTGGAGAAGCGGATCAGATAACGGCTCCGGGCAGCGTCACTGCGGAAAGGGAGTCCCAGCGGACAGGGCCGTGTCTCACCTATAATGTACATAGTGAAATTATCGACTTGAATGTTTAGTGTTGGCTGCTGCTGCAACCCGTAACTTGAACATTTTTGTTTCTGACTTAGCTACTGATGATTTTGACAAGGGGAAGAGAGACAATCTCCTATTTTTTTTTCAGCTGTATCCTCTAAAAGCTACAGAAAAGGAATATTTTATTTTTGTTTCCAGTGGTTGGCTTCTCTGTTAGGAACACGGCTCCTGAGCTTGGAAGGACTGGATGAGGCAACACCCTTGAAAAGGGCTTTTTGTTTTAGCCTTTGCTTTTGTTTTGCTGGAGCGTCGGTCGCTTTGAGGAGCGAAGTCGGGACTCGCCTGCAGCTCCGTGTGTCGGACGGAGGGGACGTTGGACGCCCCTGCGGAGCAGACGGGACGGCCGGAGCCTCGTCCCCTCTGCAGCGCCCTCCCCAGCGCGAGCAGAGCCCCGAGGAGCCGTGGGGAGGCAGGCAGCGCGAGGAAGGGGCCGGAGGAGGCGACAGGAGCGGGGCCTGGAGGCACCGAGCCGCAGAGCTGCGCCGGCGGAGAAGAGCGCGGAGAAGAGCACGGGCAGCGTGCGGGCAGCCTGGAGCGAGCGGCTGGCACAGCGGCAGCGATTGCACGGCCGGGACAGGACGGTGCTGCGGGCTCCCCTCGTCCCAGGGCCGCCCTTAGCCGCGTGCCGGGCACCGGGACCCGCGGGCTGCGGCGCGGCAGCCTGTGCCGGGGCGCACGAGCCCGCGGGCTGTCCCCATGTCCCCACAGAGCCGGGCACGGAGCCGCGCGCTCCCAGCACGAGGAAGGGCAGGCGGCAGGTCGCCCTGCTCCAGCACGCGCTGTCCGGCCCCCGAGGAAGCGCCGTCCGCTTGCCCTGTGCAATGAATGTCCCCGTCCCTTGAGAGCGGCAGGGAAGGGCTGCGCGGGGCCGGAGGGCAGGTTTCCCTGGAGAAAAGGGCGCTGCCCAAGAAGAGCAGGACTCGGCAGGAATCACTGCGGAGCCGGCGCGGAGCTGCTCAGCCTGCAGGTCCCCAGCGTCCCCTCGGCCGGCGCTGCTGGCTCTGCCGGGGACGGGGCTGACGGACATGGACGCGGGAGAAATGTCCCCTTGTGGCACCTCCGCCGGCGCGTCCCACCGCGTCCCCGCTCGCCCTGGCCCGGATAATTGTGTTTTCCTGGGCGGGCGGCCTCGGCAGCGGCCGGGTGGCTCCTGCAGGGCTGCCATGGGACAGCCGAGGACAAATGTCCCCAACGTCCCCAGCAGAGCTGGGGCTGCCGCGAGCGCCTCCCGCCCCCTGCGCTTCCCAGGACACGAATCAAAGGCTTGGAACTGGCGAGAAACTCCCCGGCCCAACGCACGTCCACGCTGCAGTTCCCCAGAGCTAATTATGGTCTAAGAGGGCTCTGCCTCGGCGGCGGCTCCGCCGGGTCCCGCGCGCCCGCGGGGCCCCTCTCCCGTAACCACGTAACCCCCCGCCTGCCCCGTGCCCGCTTTTTAACCTCGATCAGTGTCTGTGTCCAAGGAGCGGGGGCCGGGGGGGCGGCGCGGGCCCCCGCTCCCGGCCCAGGGGGGCGGCCGCGTTTCCACGGCTCCCACGCAGGGATTCAATCATGGAGATTAACCAAGGATCCGGAGAGCATCCTCCCGAAAAGTTCACTTATCTCTATTTATTTTACAAAAATTAAAAAAAAAAAGATATTAAAAAAATAAAACACACGATTGTAATGTGAGAGTAAAGCAATTAAAACAATAAATGGTTAATAAAAAACAAGTGCAGAGGTGTGTGTCGGCTGGGCACGGGCGGCTCGGGACGCTGCTCGGGGCCTCTGAGCGAATCCCGCTTGGACCTCTGTGCCCGTGGCTTTGGCACGGGGGTGTCCGCGGGGACCGGGGTGCAGGGACCTGGGGACCCCATGGGGTGGGCGCAGGTCCCCTGCCCAAGCCGCCCCTCTAGCCACCACATCCCTGTACCTCCCCATCCGCTTTTCCCACCCCTATACCTCCCCAGCCCCTATACATCACCTCTATACACCTCTTAAACCCCCATACCTCCCGTATAACTCCCCTATATCTCCTTTCCCTTGTGCATCATCCCTATATCTCCTCTTCCTCATGTATCATCCCCATACACCTCCTATAGTTCCTCTATACCTTGCATTACCTTCCCTGTACCTCCCCTTACCTCCTCTATACGTTCTATACTTCTCCTGTAATTTCTCTACCTCCCCTATATCCTCTATACCTCCCGTATATCTTCTGTACCTCCCTTGTACCTTCTCTACCTCCTCTATATACTCTGTACCTCCCCTATACCTCTCCTGTATCCCCCCTATATCCCTTATGCCTCCCTTGTAACTGCTATACCTCCCGTATATCCCCTATACCTCCCCTCTACCTTTTCTACCTCCCTTATATCCCCTATACATCCCCTATACCTCCCCTATATCCCCTATACAACTCCTATACCTCCCCTGTATCCCCCCTATATCCCTTATACCTCCTCTGTAACTGCTATACCTCCCCTATACCTCCCCTATATCCCCTATACCTCCCCTATACCTCCCCTATAGCTCCCCTGTACGTCTCCTATAGCTCCCCTATATGTCTCCTATAGCTCCCCCTCCGCCGCTGCCTCCCCCCGCCCTTGGCCGGCCCTCGAGCACCCCCAGGCGGCCCCGCGCGCCGCGTTCCCGTTCGCGTTCGCGTTCGGC